GTGCTGGTGTGGTGTGGGCACGCCGGTGCTGGTGTGGTGTGGGCACGCCGGTGCTGGTGTGGTGTGGGCACGCCAGTGCTGGTGTAGGGTGCTGGTGTGGTGTGGGCACGCCGGTGCTGGTGTGGTGTGGGCACGCCGGTTTTTTAAGTTAGTGCCGCGTGTGTAACATTCATGCCTCTGTAAAGAAAATAACCAAATATTCAACAACTAGCATATTAACTCATAACACGAACATAAGATCTATTTTTAGTGGATCGTTCACTTCTTTGCGTTTCATCATTTCCATACAAAACCCATTTGCACGCTGGCTCTCTAATAAGCTATTTTTCAATATATTAATGTCCATCCTTCAATCGCAGTGGTTGAATACTTTAGAACTTTTATATAGCATTAATTAATAATAAGGAACTTTGATTCCTTACAATGATTGGGAGGCTTCCATGCAGGAGCAGCAATGTAACAAAAATGTGCATGCTCCTTCTTACTACAATTAATCTTAAGATGCCAAACTTATCACAACTGTTGTGATAAGTTTGATCGTTGGCAGGTTGCCCACATTATGAAGTCTGTGGGAAATAAAATCCCATCAAGACAACCAAGCACGTATGAAGACTAGAAGCGAGAGGGTGGATGAAACAAAACGTTTAATTAAAAAAAATAAGAGCATTAGAAGTGCTATAGAGCGCTGAATTGAGCCAAGGCAAAGGTGAAATGGACGTTAAATTAGGCAATTGGCGCATGCAGCGAACGGCGTATGAAAAAGTAGCATTTCGATACGTGAAAATACAGTTAACCTTTTTACGGCATTAGTTTTACATGGCAGCCTTAGGGTACAAATGAGATATGGATTAGCGATGCAATTGAAGTGCATTGTTCTGCCTGCATGCATATATAGGTATGTGTTAAGGAGGGCAATTTAAAGGAGACGCATACAAAATCAATTGTGTCGGCAATACGCAACTGCATGGCCGACTCCTGAAAATCTACATCCACACACACAAGCTTGCATCGCCAATAATAAAGATACGGTAACCCAACATTGTGCTTCACCAATAATGAAATGCGCTTTCACGCCGCATTTATCGCAATATCACCGCAGTTATCGGCGCCATAATATCAATAACAAGCGACCACATAGTCCAAGACATTCATAAAAGAACGCACCGTCAAACGTACACATGCGCTACACTAAGTATCCACATGCAGAACCGGCCTAGCATTTTTAAGCTACGAACTCCAAGGACTGTACAAACAAGCATAATGGTTTAGGTACGTTTTAAGATTTAATCCTAATGAATTGTCTTTTGAATCATGACTTCTTGAATGATTAGCACATAAGTCAATCATCGCTGTGCTCTTCACTGAATATAGAAGTGATATCAACAATACCATCACAATCGTAAACAGAAGACGATAGTTATGATTTTCGTGAATGATTCGATATAGTAATAATGCACCGCGTCCGTCTTATAGCGCGTTTTACACTGCAGGAGTTAAATACCAAGCCTTGGATTACACAGATTATCTACTGACTACGTAATTGGAAGATGAGCCCATGTTAATATTTTTAAATACTTATACGAGACGAATATTAAGGAAAGCATGCAATTGACTGATCTCCTTCCGCAAATAATTTCGAATTAGTCTTAGAATTTGCGGAAGAGGGACGGTGGAAGCGTGGGTTTTATTGAATGGGCAACGCAAGTTTGTCACGTCGTTGGCATGGCTATGCCCACAAACTTATCGACGTCAGCGCACCAGCAGTCGATACCAGTCATCTTCCAGTGACGTGACCTTGACAGCAACTTCTAGAATCTAGAACTTGCCCTAGATTTTACTTCTAGAGCCTGTCTACGATGGTATTTCTAGGACAAGCCCTCGATTAATATTTCTAGGACATGCCCTCGATAGTATTTCCAGAGCCCTGCCCTCGATAGTATTTCTAGAGCCCTGTCCACGAAGGTATTTGCACAGCATGTCCACGACGGTATTAGGGTGACATGCCCACGACGGTATTAGTGTGACATGCCCACGACGGTATTAGTGTGACATGTCCACGACGGTATTAGTTCAACTGCTGTGTGGTGAAGCTGTCCCTCACTCCCCTCAACTGCTGTGTGGTGAAGCTGTCCCTCACTTCCCTCAACTGCTGTGTGGTGAAGTGGTCCCTCACTTCCCTCAACTGCTGTGTGGTGAAGTGGTCCCTCACTTCCCTCAACTGCTGTGTGGTGAGGTCATCCCTCACAAATACTCACATAGTAAATATAAAAAATATATCTCATTATTACATTTGTAGGTTATCTTATGGTACTTCAAGAGCCATCTACATAATTTTTCCATTTTTCTAGGACAGCAATTTTTTGAGTAGAGGGGCTTCTGTTCTTGAATGTCAAGACATTCCAAGTCACCCATCAATGGTACACGTCATCCCATTTTACAGTAGGTATGACACAAACCTGGTACAATGCTTACCAAATTTGTAGAAAAATAAACCATCCATATTTTATCGCCTTCACTAGTTTGGAACTGGTTTCAATGAAATTGTAACCATTTTTTGCACTATAAGCATGTATACAAATGTAGTACTGTAAAATGGGGTAACTTAGACCACTTTTATTTTTATAAATGATGCCATTTTTTTACTAGCTAAATTAAACTTGAATTGAAACATGCAAAATACAGGTCTATACTCTAGCTTTACTCACCATAAATTGCTGGCTCCTTAATTGGAGGGGGTACTCTGACAGGCTTTAAATAATAGCTTTTTTTCGTTGGTCACATTTTTAATTTTTTAACCTATTAGATATGCAAACTTTTTAAATTTTTCTATTGTGTTATGTAGCCTCAGTATTAGGCCTTTAATGCCCATTGACAGAATTTTTCTATGTCAAATAGTTTTTGAGTTGTGGGGGTTTTTGTTAAAAAAACGAAAAGTGGTCTAAGTTACCCCGCTGGTCTAAGTTACCCCATTTTACGGTAATCAACTGCAAATACCTAAGCAAACATTTATACTGAAAAGTAACCATATTTTGATCTCCAAATTTTATACACAAAGTTGTAAAATAAAACATGCAATTTCATACAAGCAATGCTTTAGACAGCATAGCAAATGCTAGCATAGGACAGCCACTCCATTAAAAAAAGTAATAGAAGCATGGCATGGTAAAATTTAAATAGTAGCTAATTGTGAATGTACATATTACAGAGATAATTGCATAGGTATTATACTAAGGACAGAATTTTTAGTGACCCACCTGGTATGTGTTGTCAAAGGAATCGTACATAAACCGGGTGATGAGTGAGGTTTTGCCCACTGAAAAATAAAGAAAATGTATCACAATTTGTACATAATTTTCAATTGATGGATTAAAAGCATTTTTATTACTTAAAAAAGTATTTGCTGATAATTGATATTGTTGACCTACATTTGTTTTTAGAGCAGGCATAGATAATTATAGATACGTGAGCAGACAGTGCTGACTCATCGAGCTTAAGAATATCCTAACCAGGTGTACATACAGTAATGCATGCACCACATCCCACCAACCATAAGGCCTCTCCTCCACACATGCACCACAACCCATCAACCATTAGGCCTCTCCTCCACACACACAGCACATCCCAGGAAGTAAATTAATAAGATAATAACTTGACTTAATGAAATTATGCTCATATGATAATCTAATAAATGGCTTACATGAGAATATATGATAATCTTATGTATGATATACTACTTCAAGGCTAATATGATAATTTTTCATGTGCTAATTTTTCAGCAAAAAAAATCCATATAACAAAAACAAATCATCTTTTATAATAATATTTCAGCTTAACTGCCTCAATTACTAGCTACCGTAGAATTTCATATGGTATTGGAAGACTGGGAACAAGACCAAGTCTCAGCTGATATATTTAATGAAGCAAGTGACTTTACTTGATCTATGTTCAATAGCTTTAATACCAGTGTTGAATGAGCTTAATACATGAGCTTTGATACCAGTGTTGAATTTCACATGAGCCTGAGTAATTGACTAGTTCTAGTTGAAAAAATTAAGCAGAATAGTAGTTATATTTTCACTTATTTATTATTATTTTAAACTAATTTCTCCTAATATTTCTTTTAGTGACCATAATTTTTTAGTGAAATACAGGGTTGGTCTAAATGATGGACCCAATTTAATAAATTCATATTTAGTTAAGTATGAATTCAAAATGAATAATTTATACACCAATGGAAGGGGGAAGATTCAAATTTTTGACTTATTCAAACACAGAAGTGAAATGTGCAGTTGCAGATCTACAACATTAAGCCTTGAGCACTGGATAGGATGCACAGGAAATGGATATCAGGCTCTACACTTCTGGCCACCGAGATCACCTGATTCCACCCCATGTGACTATTTCTTATGGGGATACCTCAAGGAAGCTGTTTTCCTGCCTCTACCAGCTTCTTTTGTGCCTTTTCCATAAGACTGTTTTCTTATGGGGAAGCTCAAGGAAGGCTGGAAGGCTATCATCCTGCCTCTACCAGCAACTCTGGTTGATCTGAAGAACCATATCACTGCTACACTGCACTCAGTAATGGAGGTTATGTTTTATTATGTGTGGGACGAGTTTGGCTACTGTTTATATGTTTGCCATGCAGCACAAGGGAGACATTGAACATTTACAAATAGATAAAAAAAAACTTTGAATCTTTCCCTTTCTCTTGATTTAGAAATTAGGTACCTACTGTCAACTGGGGTGACTTCAGCCACCACTACAACAGAAACAAATGGTAGCAAAACAAAATAATAAACGCTGTCCAAAGGCAAAGTGCCTGGGGTGATTTTGGCCAAGGGGGAGACTTTGGCCAAAGTTATTTATTTTGTTTTGCTGCCATTTGTTTCTGTTTTTTCAATTCCTGCTGTGTAAGAACTATGTGCTGGAACTGGAAGCGGTATTATTGCAGATTAACTACATCCAAAAAAAGGGTGTTTTTTTTTTTAATTATATGTTTTTTGGGGTGTAGATTACGAATCTGAAATCCATTTTTGGCGGTCGGCATCGGAAAACCTGGATTTCAGATTCGTAATCTACACCCCAAAAAACATATAATTAAAAAAAAACACCCTTTTTTTTGGATGTAGTTAATCTGCAATAATACCCTGGAAGCAGAAGGTGACTCAAGTGTCATTGACAGTGGAATGAGTTAAATTAGACGAAATATCTTTATATAATTATTAATAAAACAACCTAATTCAGGCTACCTGACTTGCAAAATTTTAAATTCATTCATAAAAGCTGTCTTTAATGGCACAAAATTTCAGTAAGATACAGAATTTTCAGCAAAAGAGATCTAGTTTTATCAATTTACTATCAATACCTATTACATAAGTTGTCACTCAGCAGCATTTCACTCAACTTACTACTAGTCAATAAAAACCATATAATACTGGTCAGAATTTGAATTTATTGGGCTAAATTTCCACATAAAAACTTGAAAGCTTTGTTAATTTCACTAGAAACTAGAAGCAATTTACTATCAATATTACATAAGTTGTCACTCAGCAGCATTTCACTCAACTTACTACTAGTCAATAAAAACCATATAATACTGGTCAGAATTTAAATTTATATGGCTAAATTTCCACACAAAAACTTGAAAGCTTTGTATGTTAATTTCACTAGAAACTAGAGTCTAGAAGGTAATGGTTCAGTTTGTTTACAATACTGAATACATATCATTTAGTTTGATGGCTTGGAACTTATGTTCTGAAGTGAAGTTAGTGGGTTATTGGTGTTGAAACTTCTAAATTCTGACACTCTCCTTCTGATTCAATATGAGCTATGAGTATGACTGCCTATGCAGTAGCAGCTTAAGGGGACCGTCTACCCCTAAATTTTCAATTTTGGCGTTTCCCGCTTTTTGGGCTCATCTTAAAGCTTACTTTTTGACGCATCCAACGGTTATTTTTCCGTTTTCTATGAATATCACGTTTTCTATCAATTTTTTCGAAAAATTCATAGAAGTAAAATGTTTTTATTTTTACATTTTACGTTTGAATGTGAAGTTTCATGATGATCGGATAATAACTTTAGGAGTTATAGGCTATCTCCAATTTAGGTTAGACGGTCCCCTTAAGTATTGACCTGCTCTAGCAGTTCATTTCTATAGTAGGCCTACTTTGCCGGCTGCCTCTAAATAAGCAAATTTGCATTAAATTCCTCCTGTTAAAAAAAAAGTCCAATTACATTTTTTCTGATACAATTCATTTGCATGAAGTTATGAACCATGAACGACTTCTGCAGAAATTCACATAATTTTAATTTGTAAATCAATAACGTATTTTCAATTTTGAAACAGCGAAGGTTGACAACTTAATTATAATGGTAAAGACTTTTCATTAGCAAATACATATATAGGATAGGTATATACTTATTCATCTAACGCAACACATCAATCAAAGGTTATTCTGGCTTGCAGCTGGAAGTTTTTCCTCGGCTAGACTATTTTATTAACCAATTGACCAATATTAGGTACGTTAACGACCATCTCACTCGTCTAGCTGAAAAACTCACCACTTTGTTCACCTAAAAATACAAGTTTAAATTTCCTTAACGGGTTCCCGAATTCGCCCGACATGGCCATCGTGTTATCTTGGGTTATGAGGTAAATTTTGCAATGATTTTCTTGTCACGGTCTTCTCAAAATTTATTCTGCGAATGTATTGCACATAAGCAACCGACCACATGCATCTCCAGCCACGTACTGAAGTTCACATAGAAAACTCTCTCTCTCTCCCACTCTCTCACACTTCTGACACTGACACACACCGTACAGGGCTACCAACCTCCTAAATCAATTTTTGAAATTCAATTCCTGCAAATAAGCCCATTACAAGCGAAAAGCATGTTTGAAATATTATAAAACTTTAACTACGAATAATTTTCCAAGTTTTGACTCATTCAAAGTGATATGTTACTTACTAAAAATTTTCAAGCATGAGGTTAGTTATAAAAATGACATTCTTTTTGTATGAATTTGAATATAACACCAAATTCTGCCTCATTTCTGCTATTGAATTAGGCTTAAAACAGCATAATAAAAACTTACAGGATACCTAAAAATTTGCGAGCCTATTTCCAATTTACTTGAGAAGCAAATGTAGTTTAAGAACGTAAACATTGACGAGTGACGACTTGACGTCTTATCAGTTGCTTCACATCGTCGCGTTGAAGCGGTTTATTGGCGTAAAGGAAATGGTTTCTCAAAGTATGAGTAGTAATCTTAAAGCCTAACAAATAACGTGAGGTATAAATTCACAACTGCTAACATAAGCTGTACATTATCATAACTGAGTGTAGACAGATCCCTATAGTTAGTATAGCCTATAGGCCGCTACAATGTCGGCTCATATGGCACCTTCTTTAACTGACCAGAAAATTGCTGAAAGACTTATCATCCTAAATGATCGCTGCGTGGGAATTATGACCAGAATTTACAATATTAAAAAGGTATGTAACCATGCTAGATTGCTAGTCATCCACTATGTATGAAGTGCTTCTGTTAATTTTCAGTGACAAGTGGTTACTGGTTTCTGCCTTCTGGCTAGTCTGGAAAAGTCCTATTTTTGTCTGAAATATCGCGGCTCTAATTTAGTCTGGAAAAGTCCTATTTTTGTCTGAAATATCGCGGCTCTAATATCATATAATTTCAGTAGGTATGAAATCTCGCGGCTCGAATGTCATAAATTTTTGTTTTTGTTTGATTAAAAAATCGCGGTTTGCACTTCGTATGGCTTTTCATGGCCGAGATATGGAATTCACGGCTCGTAGAAATGGAATCACGGCTGGCAAATCCATAAAACCACGGCTCGAAAAATTCAGTCGCGGCTCGCCAAGTAGATATATTCCATACTAGCCTTCTGGTACTATATTATTTTATAAACACAAAGAGCACAAGTTTGACATGTTCTGTGATTGAAATTTTATGTTGGTTGTTTAATTGTTTTCAAGTTTTAAATTTCACTAGGTTGAAAACTGTTCTAACATTGTTTTTTCTGTATTTTTTTTTTAGATTGATGAATTGATGTGAACTTGTAATTTTCAGGCATGCGGTGATTCCAAATCCAAGCCATCATTTTTATCTGAGAAGACCCTGGAGCCATGCATAAAGCAAATAGTGCGCAAGTTCCCAAACATCGATTCTAAATTTGTATCGGTGAGTATGGGTAATTGATGTAATTATGCTGTATGCAGTTGGATTTCTACTTCTACATATCATTCGTGTCAATTGTCAACTTGATTTATATGTACAGCAGCACAGCTAAAAATAAGTTAAAAATTTAAAGGTTAATGTGTGAGTTATGGCACAAAACATATATGAATAAAATATTTATTTGTACACATTTACTAGCTCTTGAGTATGTTGAACTTTTGAAGCACACTGACTAGGCTAGGCTAATTAGCGTGCAACAATAGATTTAATGCTTCATAGGCTACCAGACAAGTAAGACCACCTAGAAAGTTAGAAACTGGGGTCTTCTAGTCTGGGTCAGTGAAATTACTAATAATAATTAACCTCATTTGAATGTAAAATCCAAACCTGATTAATGAATCCTTTTCAAAATGTTAAAAACTTGAAAACTCATTTTAATTCTCAAAAATTTTTAATTAATTGTTATAAATATTGGTTTTATAATACCTTTTTTTGTTTTATCATCATTTATAAAATAAATTGAAGTGTTCTATGTATTTATAAATTTGAAACATTAAATTGTCAATTACAAAAGTTCAAAGCAATTTTTTTATTATAGAAAGATTTCCTTTCCTTAAAGGTCTTGTTCAATTATTCAGTAGTTGTAGGGTACTTAACATTTAACAGAGATCATTTTATTGTTCAGGCACATAAAGAAACTCTTCAGAATGTACGGTTGGATATCATGAAGTCACTCTCACTCTACTACTACACGTTTGTTGACCTGCTGGACCTCAAGGATGCCATTGGCGAGCTTCTTAACATCATGGACGCCTTGCACATGGAAACAGTGCTTGATATAGTATGCTTGACTGATGAATTTCTTGTGAAGTTCCTTGATATCTAGTTTTTCATGAAGTTTACTGACGTCTAGTGTTTGAAATTGAACTAGGAACGTGTTTATGGTAATACTTCTTTGTTGTTTGGGAAGTTATCTTTAAGTCTAGGGCATTTAGACTTCCCAAAAATATGGTAGGTTCTTCCAGATGAATTTAAATAACTACCTACTGCTGCATTATTTTATAAGAAAAGATGTAAGATTAGTATAAGGAAATTTCTTTCATATTATCTTCCTATACAACAGAGCATGCATTAAAATATTTTTTTTTTTTTCAGAGCATCAGTTTTGAGCTCACTAAGAACTACTTGGACCTAATCACCAACTATGCCTCACTAATGATCATCCTCTCAAGAGTGGATGACAGGAAACCTGTACTAGGGCTCTTCAACATTGCACATGACCTTGTCAACAATCAGGGGTAAACATTACATCTTTGTTTACCATCCCAGCTAAACCTTTTGCAATGGTGAAAAATTAGGCTCTGCCTGGAATAATGTGATGACGAATCTATTCTGTTTCCACCACTGTACAATCAGGCATTAGAGAATACCTATTCTACTCTACTCTAAAGTACAATTGCAATTGCCCTAGCGAATAATTCATAATTAATCTTTCATTATTGTATAAGAACTTTTGTACAAAATCTATTCTAAAAAGTAAATTTTTTTCTCAATTTCCAATGAACAATTTCTTTTCTCAATTGAGCAACTACTTTTAATCTTTGATTAAAAGTAACTACTTTAAAAAAAAACTTTAACTTTAAAAGTAGCAACTACTTTTAATCTTTGATTAAAAGTAGTTCTGTTAGGTAGATTATGTTTAATATTAATTAATTGATGTTTAGTAGATTCATTAGTATTCATCAGATATTTTTTGTTTTGCGTGTGTTATTGCTTCACAAGTTTCCTGTCAATTTGATGCTAAATGATTGTTGTCTCTCTTAAAAGTGCAAGTATATTGTAGAAAACTGACAGGAATAACTTTTGCTTCCTATGTAAAAATATTTACACAATTTTTACAATTTAAAATGTTGCTATTTGCAGAGATCCATCATTTCCACGTCTGGGTCCAATGATCATGGACTACGAGAACCCCCTTAAGAAACTACACGAGGAGTTCAACACTCACTCCAAACTAGTGTCTGCTGCCGTCAACTCCTTGCTTGTCCTCTACCCTCGCCGCAACATGACGGCCGAACAGTGGAGGTACTTATTTAATTGGCCTGGAGTCAAACAATACTTGAAACGGAGTTCTTCAGCACCTGAAACCTCAATGCTGAAGCAAATATTACATTAACTCCTAAGCATGTTGATGCTTGTTTTAATTTGGAGGTTTGGTTCTCAAGCTAAACCAGTGGATATCATAGCTGGTGAACCAATTCATGTTCACATGTGTGATCAATCAACAAGAATTAAATTCTGAGTGCATGGGTACTTTTTTCATTGGTAGTAGCTTCTATTTCGCAACTGAATCTAGGAACAGGAAAAACCTTATTCAGGAAAAACCTAATTTCAATAACTGAATTTTATCCGTACTACGAGACCTTTGTCTACTGACCATAGTAACTCAATGAGGGCTATGCCATCAAAAATAGTTACAAGTTTGTAACAACATCAGCTAATTGCAGACTGCTCTTCGAGATAAATTCACCAATCACATATGAGAAATCTGTCGCTACCTGTACTTTATAGAATACTAGGTATGTGTATATACTTGAGCTAGAGTTGATATTATGGCACCAGACAAATTGCATTGGCAACAGTTAATGTATCTACGGTAATGTACAATGGGTTGAACTGTCACATATTGCAGGTAGTTCATAATAAAGACTAAAACTTCGGCATTGTTTCTCCAGAGCTGCCCAGATGTTGAGCCTGGTGAGCACGCCCAACCAGCTCCTGAACCCCGCCCTCACCGACTTCCTGCCCTGCGAGTACCTCTCCCTTGACACTCTTGAACGGTGGCTCATCTTTGGTACGTGTCTCAATTGTATACATGTCTGTGAACATGATATGTGTCTCAATTGTATAGTACAGGTCTGTGAACTTGATACGTGACTCAATTGTATACCATATGTCCGTGAATTTGATACACGTCTCAATTGTGTACATGTCTGTAAATTTGATACGTGTCTCAATTGTATAGTACATGTCTGTGAACTCGATACGTGACTCAATTGTATACCATATGTCCGTGAATTTGATACACGTCTCAATTGTGTACATGTCTGTGAATTTGATGCATGTCTCAATTGTATAGTACATGTCTGTGAAGTTGATACGTGTCTCAATTGTATAGAACATGTCTCTGAATTTGGTGCATGTCTCAATTGTGTACATGTTTGTGAATTTAGTACTTGTCTCAATTGTGTACATGCTTGTGAACTTGCTACGTGTCTCAACTGTGTCTCAGTGTACAAAGTGTTAATGTCGTCCTCAAAAAGTTAATGCATCCTGATTTGCGTTTATTTCTTCTAAAAATTTCTATCAAGTTCCTTAGTCAATCAGTTCGTGGCCATCATTGGGGCAAAATTCTTAGAAATGACCAGATTGTTCCAGTCTTGTTTGTCGAGTACCTAGTTACATTGTAGTAATCATGTTTCAGTTAAAAACGGAGCAATTATTTTCAGGTAAATAGTGTACAACATATATGAATAGTTTGTGAAGTTGCCAAATTCGATATTTTTTAGAATATGAACAGAATTATTAAGTACGTCCGCTGCAGGGATGGTGCTGGCACCGCAGCAGCTGATGCAGCACCAGGCCAGGGAGGTGTTTGTGCAAGCCCTCAACACCGGCTGGTGCATCACTCTCTTCAGGTTTGTACTTTAATATGAAATCTTAATACACTTTTGTGCTGTTTACTTAGTTCATTTGTTAGCATCAATGCCTTAAAATTACAATACACTTTTGTGCTGTTTACTTAGTTCATTTGTTAGCATCAATGCCTTAAAATTACAATACACTTTTGTGCTGTTTTCTCAGTTGCATTGTTAGCATCAATGAAATTTGCATTGTTAGCATCTTGAAATTACAATCTGGGATTAAATTTAAACAAATCTTTGGTCGCCCGCCCTGCTCCAGTCCTCCGGGTCATGGTACAGTTCATTTATCATTGACTATTTGTATCATTGATTTCTTGTAATGCTCAAAACTGATTTAGGTTGACATTCCTCTGTGTACTTACTTGAATTTTGATCAACTCGGTATTGAGATGTCATGGGGAACTATTAAACTGAATTTGTAATATTTTCAGTAATTTCAAACGTAGAACTAATTATAATTATTTTTATTATAAATAAAGTAATAGTGCAATTGAACAGAAATAACTTTAGGCAATGTAAAGAAGTAACTAAAGCAGTGGAAGTGAATTGCTTCATGTAGTGGAAAATGGAAAACAAATTGTAACAGAAAAGGGATAAATTAACAACAAATTGGATTTAAACCGAATTTATTAATTGATAAAAAAACATATTGCACAGAGAAGAGATAAATTAACAATAATAAGATTTAAACCAAACTTCTTTATTGAAATATTAAGTAAATGTATGCCGTGCCCAGGGACGAAGTGCTGCACCACCACGCCGCCATCCAGAGCTTCTTTGAGTCCCGCAAGGAGCTCGGCAAGCGCGCCTCTGAGGTCAAGGACAGCTACTCTCAGGCCGTCGTTGACGCGTCAGTCTTAGGCTATGTCTTAGATTATATTATTACACTGATATTAATGTAGATAATATAATCATTTTTACAGTTTATATTATTTTTGAGATTCAATTAGAATTTCAATTCCCCCATCTTGGCATCCAAAGGATTATTTCGTATTATATTCAGGTCTTTAAATGAGCTTATGCTAGATTATATTATTACATTGATAGTAATGAAGAGAATATAATTATTTTTACAGTTTATATTATTTTTGAGATTCAATTAGAATTTCAATTCCCCATCTTGGCATCCAAAGGATCATTTTGTATTATATTCAGGTCTTTAAATGAGCTTATGCTGTCATTGCACTTACCGTAGCGATCCAAATTAGGCACTAGCTTTGTGGTGTTTTACAGAATCGCAGTGAGACGTATTCTTCAAATTCCATATTGGCATATATATTTTTGTGTTAAAACTGTGAATTTTTCTTCATAAATTTAGCATTTTATCTATATCATGGATTATTTTATTGAATTTTTTTCAAGTTTTCCGTGTGTTTGATTGCAAGTCATTTATTCATTTTTCATTCTTCTGCATTTTCTTCATTTTACTAATGATCTTGTCTATAAATTAATTGATACTTCCAGAGCAATTTCTACATTGAACACTTTCTCTGACACAATGAATATCTTATTGAATATCTCACTGAATATCCTATTAAAAACCCTATTGACAACCCTACTAAATATCCTACAGAATATCCTATCGAATACCCTCTTGAATATCCTATTGAATAGGTACCCTTTTATATAACCCTACTGAATACCCCATCGATTATCTTTTTGAATATCCTACTCAATATTCCATTGATTATCCTTTTGAATATCCTGCTGAATATCCCATTTTTCATCCTTTTGAATATCCCATCTATTATCTTTTTGAATATCCTGCTGAATATCCCATCTATTATCCTTTTGAATATCCTGCTGATTATCCCATCTATTATCCTTTTGAATATCCTGCTGATTATCCCATCTATTATCCTTTTGAATATCCTGCTGATTATCCCATCTATTATCTTTTTGAACATCCTGCTAAATATCCCACCAATCATCCTGCTGAATATCCCCACTAAATACCCTATTAAATACCAATCTATGGTCGTGCACAGCTGGAAGCTGCACCGCGAGCGCCGCAAGTTCCTGCGCTCAGCCCTGAAGGAGCTCTCCCTCATCCTAACCGACCAGCCTGGCCTGCTGGGGCCTAAGATCCTCTTCGTCCTCATGGGTCTCTCCTTCGCCAGAGATGAGGTATCTCTTCTCCTTCACCTTTCTAATGCTGTTAGTATCCTTTCAATAAAAAAATACGCACTTGATTCAATCATTTTGTCATTTTTCACAAGATACAAGGATTCTTCTTCTTGACGTAATTTAATCAAATCAGTTGTACAGACTTTACAGTTGTATATTTTTTAATTAAAGCTCAATTTGTGGTGCAGGTGCTGTGGTTGCTGCGTCACCACGATAACCTGCCGCAGCAGAAAGTTAAGAACGGATGCAAGCAAGAAGATCTGGTGGACAGACATCTCCCTGAGCTGCTCTTCCATATGGAGGAACTGAGGGCGCTCGTGAAGAAGTACTGTCAGGTACTGAGGGTGAAGTAGTGCCATGTGTGGTGCTCTGGGGTAGTGCGTGGTGCGGTGCTAAGGGTAGTGCATGCGTGGTGCTGTGGAGTAGTGCGTGATATAATTTCAATGAGACTGAAGAGCACTTCTTTCCTCAGTTACTAAGGTGTTGCCATACCAAAACTATTCACTGCAGCAATACTACAATATTTGTCGTGGTGTTGCAGGTGCTGCAGCGCTACTACGTGCAGTACCTGAGTGGCTATGACGCCATCGCTCTAGCGCAGCTGCTGCAGAACCACCACAACCTGCCCGAGGCAGAGTCTACCATCCTTACCGCCATGTGCAGCGACCTCTCGCAGCTCAGCGTCAAACAGGGTACGTTGATCTCCCCCTTGAATAGGGTACTTTGATCTCCCCCTTGAACACGGTACTTTGATCTCCCCCTTGAACACAGTACTTTGATCTCCCCCTTGAACACGGTACTTTGATCTCCCCCTTGAACACGGTACTTTGATCTCCCCCTTGAACACGGTACTTTGATCTCCCCCTTGAACAC